TCACACACTCATGTGATGCGATTTCGCAGGTCAGAGTTCAACCAAAGCTTGAACTTTCCAACGAAGCAAACTGCAAAACTTGTCGCACGAGACGTACGACCTTGTGTTTCCAGTCTGATGCGTGCATATGAATGGGAAGAAAAGTCCAGTCTGACCGAAGCTTATCAACTCAGAGTTCAAGTTTAAACTCAGAGTTGGTTGAACCTCCTTACTGAAACAGGCCCACAGTTTAAGACATTAGGAAGGTAATGATGACTCGCAGGGGGACTATCACAATGGAGTGTCAGTCAAAACACTTGAAACAAGCTCCATTTCATTTGGTTTCATTCACCAATGCCAGTACATAAATCTCTCCTCATAGTATCAGACTGGTTTCTAATCATAAATATATAAAGACAGCTCAAGCAAATAAATCAATAAACTGCATAAACAAACAATACTCCATAAATAACACTACAAGAAAACAACTCACATTGCAAACAGCCACAACACCACATGAGCAGTCCAGAGTAGTGAAAGACAAGAGCTTACTGCTACTCGGAAGCCACATTACTTAATTAGGGTGATAAGGTACAGCTGTGAATCATGGATAGGCCGTAAATGGGTGAATCAGAGAGGTTCAAAAAATAGTGGGCAGGGCTTCAGTGAGATTTTCTACACAGAGCTTATGAACAAAGTAGATCAGTGCAGTGGCATGCTCGATTTTATGGATGAAAATGAGGGTGTGGGAGACATGGGTCCTACAGATCACAATTTAAAAAAACTGTTTTATGGAGTTTTTGTTTGCCAAAATTATTTTTACGTATTTCAGTTAATCGATTAAACAATTAAACACGTTTACTCAAACCCTCATATTACTGCTTTTATTCACTGCTTTCAAAAAGTAAACACGGCACACTTAATATAGTCTATCACTGGAAACAACTGCTATCATTTATTAGAAAGCAAGGAGCCAGCCGTTTACTTAGTAGGTGTGCAGATTGTAAACATTTCTCAAAACAGGCTATCAATATAGCCTAACTATATTTTTACAACAGTATCAAAAACGAGTATCATATTTTCATATAAATATTTCATTAAACCCAGTATATTATTGTTATTATTATTAGTATTATTCTGCGATAAATGGTTTTACCGATCATTTTGCTAGCTAGTGGATATTTTATGAGCATATCTAAGTTAGGCTACGCTTTCAACAAAAAGTCTAACAGTGTAAGTTCTTACCTGTATTTTTTAAACATTAGTGTCTGTCAACTATTGACGATTAAACAACATGTAATTCTTTCAAAACCATTTAATAAAGAGAAACTGATGTGACTAAACAGGCAAGTGAAACGTGTTATTTTCTACAGTCATTGGTTATTACTCATCAATAGCGCCATCCAGCGGTTTTACTTAGGAAACACTGTGTGGCTTGTTGCTATAGAAACACAGATACAACTTAGCTCGCGCTAACAGAAAGTTTCACGGTGTTGTGTCCTGTCAACGTGTTCACGTAACGAATTGAGGCTTTCAAGAAACGTCCAGAGGTTCGAACAATAGTAGGGAAAGTTTAAAAGGTACAGGTTTACAAGATTAAATAAAAAATGTTCCGTAAAAGAACGTGGAGGAAAACAGTGAGTGATGCGGTCAGCTCACATCAACACCGTGCGCTGAACACCACCATTTTCATCCTCAAAGAGTACGGGCCGATTGGATTCCTCCTGCAAGAGGATGGAGAAAGCAAACATTATAAAGTATTCATTTATTCCTTGTTGTTGCTGTTGATGTTGTAGAATGATTTTTAAATGTATTTTGAGCAATTTAAACAATGTAACTTGATATTTTAAGGTGTGTTTGGGGGATCCTCACACATGTACCTGCCCTACCTACCAGAAAGAGAAGGATCTTTGCACACACATCTGCTGGTAAATCAATTATTTGAGATAGATTTTAGATGGTTGTTTTCTCAGACTAAGTGCACATATTTTCCTGTTTGGACATAAATGTTATCTCATTTAAAAATAAATAAATAAGTTTAATTCGACATTGTATTTGTAAGTGCTTATAATAATAAAAAAAACTCTCACCTTAAACAATTTGTTTTTAGGATTTTAATGCGCAAATTTCGGCTGCCAAGAGATCATGAATGTAAGTAAAAAATTGGAAGTGTCGTTGTAGTTTTTCAATAGATGCCACAAACAATTACATACATATTTGTACATCAGCGTCTGAGAAGTTTTCTGTTTCAGACTGTTTTCAGTATGGTCTTGTGGAGCGACAGATCCTAGAGCTTTTGCAAGGACTTCATGTGACCAAAACTACAACCAATAATGACCATGGCAGCTCAGGCGCAACATGTCCTGAGCCGGCTGAGGAAGACGGCGGCATAAAACAGAAAGTTGTAGAAAAAGATGATATATGTCCAATCTGTCAAGAAGAACTTTTGCTAAAAAAATTACCTGTGACCTATTGCAAGTAAGAGAATTAGACTTAGTTTTTTAACTTGAAATAATCATATTCATGATTGAAATGGATTTTCTTAAAATATGTGTCTGAATATCATGGTAAACAAGATGTGGATGTTGAAGCTTAAACAAAATACAAAAATATTAATGTATTTTCTTAATTTTAAAGCCAAATGCATCACCATTCTCAAAGTGAAAACACCAAAAGCTAATAATATCCATCTTACGGTTTTGACTTATTGCATTAATTATGCATTTGTTATTATACATTGGTCAGGTTCAGCTGTGGAAACAACATTCACATTTCCTGTATGAAAGTTTGGGCTGATCACCAAACCAAGAAGGACCCACGTGCCCTTCTTAAGTGTCCACTCTGTAGGGAAGACTTTGGCACATTTAAAGAGCTAATTGAACAGGTATGTAATTATAAGGAATTACAAGCTGTTTAAGCTTAACGCATCTTTTATTTGCTGTATTATCTTTTTAACAGGTCAAAAATGCAAGTGAACTGGTTACCTGCTATGAGAGGGACTGTCTGGACAAACATCTTGGTGTTTTGTGTAACATCTGCAGGGTTTGTCCAATTGTCGGCGAATGTTTCAAGTAGGTAGCAATTACACTGCACACATAGATCAGTGTAATCAGTGTGCTCTTGCTTCATTTGTAAAAAATTTACACACAGCTACATTACACATCAGCTAAAGTTTAAAATATGGTCCCCCCCTTTAACAATAGTGATTCTGACTAATGTTTGACCCAGATGATAACCCAGACTTATGCAATGTCTCATTTCTGACTTTCACAGGTGCACCGAGTGCAGTTTTTTCCACCTGTGTGAGGACTGCTTTAAGAAAACCCTTCATCCAAAACATTGTTTTATGGTGCGAATGGTAAGTCTTTGTAAATATGAGTTCATTGTAAGATTTGTTTTGCTTGTGAACAACTAAACTAACTTAATATCATTTAGAGGTTATCAAAGCATTGTGTTATAATTGTGCAGAAAAGAGGCCAGCAGTGGCAGACAGTAGGAGCTCATGCCTCTCAGGAAACACAGAAAATAGAAAACCACCTAACTGGTAGCAGGTTCGTCTTCTGCCTTATAGCTTCAGTGCAACTTAATTCTTTTATTTTTCATTCCTCATCATAATGGAACATTTCTAAAGTAATCTTAAATCATCTTTTTAACTCTACAGCTCCGTCAGCATGTCGTGTGATATTGTCCCAAACCATGTGATAAAGAGTTTGCCGGTGATAACGGTTCGAAAAGAGTCCAGACTGCTTCATCCAGGTGTTCAGTGTAGACTCTGCCTCTCAAGGTTTCAACTGGGTCAGTGCATCAGAACTCTTCCCTGCAAACACAAGGTAAAAAATCCACTAGAAACCAACTTTAATCTTCTTGATTTGTTTGGACATTATCAAAAGTGGTCATTATGGGAGCTCTTTAAGTATTAGCTAACTAAAACAGTGATCTATTTCTCTCCATTGAACCTTACCTAGTTCCATACTGGCTGTATTGATCCATTGCTTCGCGTGTCTAACTGTTGCCCTCTGGAATGGCACATCATCTACAATCCTCTTACATGGAGTCCCAGAAGTGGCAGAGCAGGATCTTTGGCTCCATCTAGTGATGTTCACAGCAAGAGAACAGATGGGCAAATCTCAGAGTTCTTTCTACCAGGAATTGGCTTGCAGGTCAAGATAGGTAAAGCTCCATCTCTGTTGAGAGGAGTGACATCTGATCCATCTGTGTGCAGAAAGTCCAGTTCTTCCTCAGTAGATACAGTCAGTCAAGGATTTCAGGACCTCTGCATCAATAGTTCCCACATAGAACCATATACCAGGATGCCCATCGTGACCCACAGGCAAGAACAGAGGCCTAGGAGATTATCATTGGAGCAGGCCATGTCTGCACCGGTTGAGAGGAGGGCATCATTTCCAAATCGGCCATCAACAGTGAGTATGAAAGGCTTTAACGTTCAGTCCGCAATTGGCGAAACACAGGAGCAGCAGCAGAGACTCTTTGTGGGCTTTAATGGATCTTCCAGCAGAACTCCAGCTTTAAGCAGGATCAGACCATTGAAAAAAATCCTGAGACAAAGACCTGACAGAGTGGATGTGAAGGATCTTCATCTCTGGATGACAAACAGTCCTGCCAGTGCGGTACTTATGAGAAAACAAGAATAAATCCAGCAATTACAGAGTAAAAAAACAAATGATAGATGATAGCAGGACTGGATTACCTCCACAGAAATAAAAGCCAAATCAAGGAAGAAAATCATGTTTAATTTTACAAAGCTTTATTAAACCATGACTGTAACATTAAAAAACCAGAGAAGCACCTCAAGGAAGACTCGAGTCAGTTTTAATGTTATAGCCTTGATTTAATATTGCGTTTTTAATATTACACCTCATGAGATTCTTAAATACATCATTTTTTTTGTCTTTTTTTAAAGATAAAAGCTTTAAAAGAAAGTTTTTAGAATCCTTCAGAAATTGTATATTGTATATTTATATGATAAGTAAAAAGTGTGTAAGTACAACTCACAAGCATGTTTGGTCAAGTACCTTTATTAAATGTGCACAAAAAGGCAGATTACAAGCTGTACTTAAAGCATCCAGGAATGGCTTATAAGCCACTTAAACCAGTGTGTTGAGAAATCGCTTAGATATATAACAATTACTGAAATAATAAATGCTACAACACAACATAACTTACTTTAAAAACATTCAGCGGACACAATGCAATCTTCTCTCTTCGTTCATACTTCGGTCACAATTTAATTGCTGCCTGACAACAACAAACTAGTGAGTAATTGTAACTGCTAATATGAATTAAACAGTTACAATGAATTATCTAAAAAGAAAGCTACAAAAGCTCCAGCACATTCAATACATGAGCTAATAATGATTTGTTGTTGGTTTGTGAACAAATATTTTACACACAAAACACATTAACATCTTAATATGCTACATTCCTGATCTGTACACCTGTGCTTTCAGCATTGGCCTTGGTAACATATGTTCAATGTTTTTTGGTACTACATTCTTACACATGAAAACATTGAATGGTAAAAGCATCACAACGGGTGGCATGCAAATGTGACTAGCAATAATACATTAAATAAGTACAGTGAGTCAGAACGGCATAATGACCTTACAGGCCTCAGTCGCACCCTCAAAAAAACTCATTGCAACACACTGGTGTTCTTTCTGAGCTGTAAAATGTGTAGTGCTTAGTTGAATATCTTATTATTACAGTGCTCAGGGTTTTCTTTTCCATAATTTAGTTTTTAAATGTTTATGGCACTGTGTGGCAGTTTTGCTTTACATATCTGTTGAACTAAAGGACATCAAATGATCTGAAGCAAGCCAAGAGATCAAACTGTTTTTGAAAACTCTCTAGAAGAGCATTAAGATACAAGCATTGTGCTCACATGGCAACAAATGTTTAAAAATACATAAATATATATATAGAGAGGGAGATTTATACATATTTTTACTTTTGAAGGTAAACAAATACGTTCTTTCAAAGTCTGTAAAAACATTGTACAGTGTGGGTGCGAAAAGTGTACAAATTAATTGCTGACAAAATGCTGGATAGAGCTTAGCCACAGAAATCGACTTTGAGATACGGCAGGTAAGACAGGCATTTTCATTTTATTCATTCTTCCTGATGTTTATAATATAAGGCCATTTGATTCAAACCTTTTTTCAAACACCAAAAAGCTATAGCTACTCAGTTTATTCAGTTAGTGTTTTGTTTGTGGTCTCTCCTCCCTCATGTGTCGAGAAGTCTTCTTGTCAGGTTTCTTGTCTCGAACCTTCCGCAGTCTTCTTGGTGGAGGGGTGGATTTGGACTCACTGGATGTGTCTCCCGCATCCCTGTCCTCCGGAAGGTTGGGAATGGCTGCACTACTGCTTTCCAGGGTGTTCCTCAGGGACGAGTCCTCAGGACTCCCAATTTCACTGCTGCTCAGGTCCTGCTCTTGATTTCCGCTTATTTTTGCCATGCTAGCACTTGAGGGTTCCTCACTTTTCCGCAGAGGCTGCTGCAGCTCATTCATGTCCACTCCAGAATCCAAACTTGTGTCATTGCTGCTGCCTGGGCGATGTCTTCCCTGGAGCTCAATCACAGAGTGACGAACCTGAGCTGCTGGTTTTCCATCAAGAGACACAAACCAGGCGCGAGGCGGGTGAATCGATGGTTTGCCTTTGGTAAGTTCCAACAAGGTTTGCTCTGAAATTCCCTGGAGTTCCCCCCGGAAAGGGCCCATTCCAGCTGCTTCGTTCAAAGTTCCTGGGACAGAAACAGATTCCAGGAGATGACTATAACGGCCCCATAGACCTGGGTTAATGGCAACAGCCTGTGCTCCTTCCAGACTCTGCTGCTCGTCATTGTCTTGCTGTGGAGCTTTAGGCAATGTCTGAGTGAAACTGTCCTTTAAGTTCCGCTCTGTCTGAGCACCATGTTCCATGCCATTGCGAGGGAAAGTGGCAGATCTGCTACCAGAAGGGTCAGCTTGTCCCTGGGAATTAAAAAGCTCTGGGGCCTGCACAATAGCCAGGGGCTGGTTATAGATGTGGAACAGCTTGTCTTTGAAAACTACATTCTCCACACCACCATGGCGTGCGCCATTCTGTTCCATTTTTTCCCGAAGCTTGGCCACTTCATCACTATTAACGTAGAGATTAGACATTGGGGCTCTGAGGCCTTCTAATCCCACAGCTCCAATGTTCTCATACAGATTCCCCCCTGGCCGTCCAACATTTTCCACATAAATGTTGTAGTTGGCTTGGTGTCGTGGAGAGTCTGAAGCATCATGACTGATGCCTCTTGCAGCCAGTGAATAAGAGCGTTCTCCATTATGAAAGAAAAGTTCTTGAGCCTCATCCGAGCTGGTGGAAGTGGTCTGGTCTTTCTTCAGTACAGTGAGCCTGGTGGAATTCCATCGCCTTCGTCCTGCCTCATGGTTTAGATCTCTGTAAAACAAATAGGAAAGAATTGCTATGTTGATACTTCCTTCAGTTGTACCAGAGAATGCCTTTAGCTCTCTGATAATTATGATTTACGTGTGAGTAGATGAAATAATCATGTTCGACAATTCATTGCTTAGTTATAAAAAGTGATATTTTCATGCCCTTACCTGCAGTGAAATACAATCACAGATAAAAATCCAACAACTACCACAAGAGTTCCTCCTAAGATACCCACAAGAAGGTATGTATGGTAGTAAATGAAATCCATTGAGCTTGCAAGCCCCATATAACCTAGATTTACACACACAGAAATCTGGTTAGATCTGGTTGGATTTCAGTTTTGAAGTTATGAAACTGAAAAGTAATAGCATGGGCAGATGAGTGAGGTTTTATGAAGAAAAAAACATATTACACTTGTTCTAACCTGATGATGGTAGGGGTGCAGCAATCCAGTTACCCAGTTGAGGTGCTGTGTAAGTCCAAACTAGGCCATTTTTCTCCATCTGAACAATGCCAAGACCTTTATTTACCCAGGTACCTGTAATAGCACATTTGATTAAGTGCTCACTTTTAGGCACATCTTAATTCTGAAGATCTCCTGACCTTAATACACATGACATGGTCTGAATGCATGAAAGTTAAAAAAATCTTAAGGTGATGCCATTTATGTTTCAAACATATTTTCACTCACCTATGGTCATGTTGAAGGTCCACGCAGGAAGTGAGTCTGAGGGTCGTAGATGGGTGTAGTAGGGAAGAGGTATTGTGAGCTGAATGGGTCCTTTGACATCAACTTCCTTACCATTAGACACTATCTGGGCACTGATCATAGCCAAGGGGCTTAACTTGATGTTTCTATAACCTGTAATTTAAAACAGTGATCACAGAGATTAATATTAGGATCTGTAAAAATGCATTGGATAATTGAGTCTCAAGGGTGTGTGGTCTAAATGATCAATTATATATGTAAAACGGGCCATTTGTTAGCTTGTTTAAATATGGGTAACCAAATGGTCTGGTATTGCCTAATCAATAACATGCTGTAATCAATAACATTAGCAATTCAATGTAGTATAGAGTCTAAACAGTAATGGACCCTGTAGGCTTCATTGACTAAAACTGCACAACAATACACTACCCTACAGACAATTTACATTTCAATGAAACAAACAGGGTCAGCATTATTCAAGAGATGTAATAACGAAACAGCTGATTTGCTTTTTAACAGCCATTAAGCTGGAACTAATGGGCATTTTTCCCCTAAACAATCTTACCTCCTTTACCATTGAGGTTTAGGGTAAAGTAATTGGAGTCTTTCTCAGTAGGCAGGCCTGGAGCTGTCAGGTAAGCAGACAGCATGGAGATGGTGGTATTTTCAGGCAGTTTGAGGAGACTTTTAGGAAACTGAACACTCGGTTGAAATGAGAGATCTGCAATACATGTGAAAGTTAAAGATTAACAACATTAAAAAATTGTCAAAGAATTTGAAGACTAATTGCAGTAATTAATTAATTAATATGCAGTAAGTATGCGTACTCGAAAGTTCTCAGTTGGATGTTTTGACTAGAACACCTCTATATTCAGAATACTGACTCAAAAACGCACAAGAACCACAACAACCACTCAATTTAGAATAAAATCGGGCAGCTCAGTGGATTAAATAGGTGTAGCAGTGGTCATTTATGGCTTATTAGCATTTCCGGTTGCCCGCATTAATCAATATTGCACACAGTAGTATCAAACCTCTATATGTAAGCTTAAAGTCTACATATTGTGACATATTTCCAACTGAAACAGACAATTGAATAGAGGGCAGGGTTTTATTTTAGAGCTCCTCCTTGCAGTCTCTTACTAATAGCCAACTAGGGCCACGTTTACTCTAGGGTTTTAGAATGAAAATGATCCGCGTCCACACTAGCATTTCACCCAGCATTTCTGAACAGCTCTGTGTCTACATTAAACCGCTGAAAAAGCACATCACGTGACCATACACACACACACACTCTCTGGCATGCACTGCAACGTGCTTTGAGCACATACCCATACCCACACTAATTCTGCTTATTGACTGATTGCTTTACCTTTATTTCCTATAGTGTATAAACGTATTGTATGTTGCACTTTTATAATGGCCATTATTGATTATTAAAACTGATATTCAATGAAAGGGAGGGTATGTTTCACATTTTCAATGAAAATGTAAGGAGGCTGTAATGTTATCAGCTGCGTTTTGTTATAAATATGCAATCATGAATGTTTGCAGCCCCACCTCCATTTTCAGATGTCTTCGTTTTCCCCATCCACACTGACACAGAGCAGCAGAGTTTTAGAATGAAAACAGCATCTCCAGCGTTTTCAAAACGCTCTGTTTTCGGGGCTCGAAAACTCCGGTGTAGTGTGGACAGATGGCGCAACCGTAGCAAAACTATAGCGTTTTAAAACTAACGTTTAGTGTAAACAGGGCCTAATAGTTGGAAATGGTTAAAAGCCCAGCCATCATACTTGTGTCATAAAAGAATGAACACCAATCCAGAGCAGCTCAGCTCAATTTTTTATTTTGAATGGCAGATTACTATATTTAGCTCGCATTGACTAATTATTTTATCTTACAAATGATGTATTGTCTATTTTGAACACTATCTGTGCAAAATACCACTTTTAAAAATGTATTTTCAGTGACTGGTATTGCTGGTATCACTCACTCACTATCCTACGGCTTAGGACGCACTAACACTTTGCTATTCAAATTGTGCCCAGGCGCGTTTCCCGGTTAGTTTGACAAGTGTGAGTGCTCCGAAACGGGCACAGTCGTGATTCAGTTAGCCGGCCCTGGCCCATTTAGAAGAGGTGTGCATGAGCGCGGTCCGGTTGGGCTTTGGCGCAATACGCTTGTAGTGTGAGCGCAAAGCGTGCCTATAAGCCAGAAACTGAAGACAAGACGTCACATTTATGGGACTGTTTCATATGGCTTCATTAATCATTCTTAATTTTCAAAGAACGCGAACTGTCGTAGTTTATTAAAGACGCAAACCACTCGCTGCACGTTAGCTGCACCTTCAACAAACCTCCTAATACCTGCAGCACGAAGACTTTATTATTGTTTATGAGCGTCAAAAGTGGTGGATCTGTACGGCAAAATATTTGACTGTGTGTCACTGCATACCAAACGACTAAAAATAATACATAACGACATAACTAAAGCAGTCTCCACTGTGCTGAGTGAGAGTGCTTCTCTTCCTGTTAAACTGAACAGTCACATCATCGATGACATAAGCGTGCTCTGGCTCGGATGCAATAGTGAATGCAGGCTGTCGGGGGAGAGGGGACAATCATGCTTCGGTACGGTTTAAGGCTACTGTAGCTAGTGTGAGTACGCCCTTAGTACCACTAATTACTCTAGCATATGTTTTATGCACTGCAACCCAGCACTGGGAATCACCTATACACTCTCTCATAAATTTTATGTACTAACCTGTGCACTCAGACTTATGAAATACAATCAGACACATAATAATAAATGACTTAGGCCCCGTTTACACTGTCAGGTCTTGTTGCCTAATTCCAATATGTTGCCTATATCTGATTTATTTGCCTGTCCGTTTACACGTTCTTTTTAATGTGACCCATATTCAATTCATGTGTTTACACTTGCCATACAATTTACGAGGTTGCACATGCACATTGAAATTGTCTTACTTTTAGCTCTGCGAAGTTCCCCCAACTTTAAAATGATTTTGAGGAGGAGGGAAAGGGCCGTCATCGCAGCTTGCACCTATGGTTTATATATGTATCCTCCACCACTTAGAGGAACTTGTGGGTACAAGAGAGATCTCAGGTCTGGTAGGAACAAATTGTGGCGACTGATCACTTTTCTCCTCCATGCTTCCTCTGTTGTTATTGTTTACTGCATTTGCGTCTCCACACACGCTCTTCCTTCTACAACATTAAACTACAGAAAAGTACCACATTGTCGCAAGTTTAATGACATACAAAACACAATGCCTCAATAAACTTGATCTGTCTGTTTACATCATAGTCGCATTGTCACATATCCGATTTATTTCCACATATGAAGGAGGCCTGATACTGATCGCTGAATATTCGAATGTATGCATTTTTTTCGTCTTAACACGGTCATGGAACACATCCGATCTGTGTCACATGTGAGCAAATAATTGTAATTGGGTCACATTTAACTGGCAGTGAAAACGGGGCCTTAGAAAGGGAGCACAAAAATCTCAGGACATTCCTCATTAATACAAATAAACAGCTCCCAGCTTCAAAACAGTGATGTGGATTAGCATGAAGAAATGTTTTAACTGACATACCAGATGTTTTTCGTGCTATCAGCACAGTATCCTCAAAGAGCCAGATGTTTCCTTGAGTTTGAGGATGCACGGACAGTGTAATAACAGAAAATACTAGGGGGAAAAAAAGAAAAACAAACAGACTTTAAATTTAGCAGCAGTTTTCTCACATTGAAATGGCATTTGTTTAAAGCACATTTCTTCATGGCTCTATTTTGATGCCAGGAGAAAGTCACTTTGGTTTACAGCTTTCTTGCTGACTCATCATCATCATCTGTTTCCCACTGCTTACTTTTTTTTTCACCTCATAGACATATTCATTAAGCACAGTCATCTTACTGGAATATGTAGGGATTAAATTGTTATTCAATGAATAAAATATGTAAAAACGTTATTAAATATACACTCACCGACCACTTTATTAGGTACACCTATCGCTCATTAACACAAGTTTCTAATCAGCCAATTACATGGCTGTAACTCAATGCATTTAGGCATGTAGACATGGTCAAGACGATCTACTGCAGTTCAAACTGAGCATCAGAAGAAAGCTGATTTAAGTGACTTTGAATGTGGCATGGTTGTTGGTGCCAGACAGGCTGGTTTGAGTATTTCAGAAACTGCTGATCCACCGGGATTTTCACACCCAACCATCTCTAGGGTTTACAGAGAATGGTCCGAAAAAGAGAAAATCTCCAGTGAGCGGCAGTTCTGTGGGCGCCAATGCCTTGTTAATGCCAGAGGAATGGCCAGACTGGTTTGAGCTGATAGAATAGCAACAGTAACTCAAATAAACACTCGTTACAACCGAGGTATGCAGAAGAGCATCTCTGAACGTCGAACATTGAGGCGGATGGGCTACAGCAGCAGAAGACCACACCAGGTGCCAGTCCTGTCAGCTAAAAACAGGAAAATGAGGCTACAATTGGCACAGCCTCACCAATATTGGACAATAGAAGATTGGAAAAATGTGCCTGGTCTGATGAGTCTCGATTTCTGCTGCAACATTCTGATGGTCGGGTCAGAATTTGGCATCAACAACAATATAGCATGTATCCATCCTGTCTTGTATCAACAGTTCAGGCTGGTGGTGATGGTGGTGTAATGGTGTGGGGGATATTTTCTTGGCACACTTTGGGCCCATTAGTACCAATTGAGCATCGTGTCGACACCACAGCCAACCTGAGTATTGTTGCTGACCATGTCCATCCCTTTATGACCACAGTGTACCCATCTTCTGATGGCTACTTCAAGCAGGATAACTCGTCAAGTCATAAAGCGTGAATCATCTCAGACTGGTTTCTTGAACATGACAATGAATTCACTGTATGTAAATGGCCTCCACAGACACCAGATCTCAATCCAATAGAGCAGCTTTGGGATGTGGTGGAACGACAGATTTGCATCAAATCAGGTCAATATGGACCAAAATCTCTGAGGAATTTTCCAGTACCTTGTCGAAGGGTTAATGCAGTTCTGAAGACAAAAGGGGGTCCAACCCGGTACAAGTAAGGTGTACCTTATAAAGTGGCCGGAAAGTGTATATACTAATTCATTAGGTTATTTTACATTTAATTTGATTTAATGACATCAGGATATAAAAAAAATTCGGTCCCACTTTATATTAAGTGTCCTTAACTACTATGTACTTGCATCAAAAATCTAAATACAATGTACTTACTGTGTTCATAATGTATTTGAGAACACTTGTGGTGCTCTTGAGTTGGGATAGGGGTTGGGTTATGAACGGGTTTGGTGGTATGGGTAGGTTTAAGTATGGGTTAAGGTGTAAGGGATGGTTAACAGTGTATTTACATATGTAATTACAGAAGTTAATTACAGATGTAATTAAATACAGGAATTCAATCAAGCATAAGTACACAGTAAATACATGTATTTACACAATAATAACATTGTAACAAACTATTAATTGCTGTGTAAGTACATATTAGTTAAGGCCACTTAATATAAAGTGGGACCAAAAATTCTACCTTGATGTCATTAAATCATATGAAACACAAAATAACGTAATAAACTAGTAAATAACACTGCATTTTCAAGGATATATACTTACTGGGTATTTTGGTGGTTTTCCAAGGCAGCTGGGTGAGCATGTAACCCTCCATGCTGGCCACGAGGGTGAGGGTCAGCCCGAGGCGGTATGGGACGATGATGGTGACCTCTCCGTTCCCCAGAGTCCGGCTGGAGTGAATCTGGGATCCATTCAGAAACACACTCACCAGAGCTCCTGTCAGGAACCTCTGGCTAGACGCATCTTTAACCCAAACCTTCAGTGTCAGGAGCGACTCTAGAGACAGAGAAAAGGTCAGATTTTGTGAGAATGAATAAAAAATGTGCATAAAAAATGTATACGCCACAAAAATTGCTTGAATGTTACATTTTGCCTAAAGCCTCTAATATGAATCAAGGAAACAAATGAAAAGGAGTTTAAGCTCAACCACATGCTCCAGTGTTGATACTATAGCGGTAACCGAGATGTAATTGCTTTACACATTAAAAACTAATTCAGCCAACAATGATAAATCTGGTTGGTGACAGTAAAATCTGGTGGTAACTGCGTAAGCTTTGAAATAGTAATGACCAGCGCACCGTGGCTCAGTCAGAGAGACTTAAAAATAGATCAAAGTACCAAATGTGGGATGAGCACATCAGTGAAAAGCGGAGACTTGAAAAACCTTGAGACTCTTCTTTGAAATGTGCCTCAAAACCGAAAACAGAAGTAAATCTCTCACAAGGATCATAGAGCCAGTCCGGATGACCATAAAACAACCAAAATTGTCAAAATGAAACGATGGAAGACATAAAAATACAACACATACCAACTATAAGAGATCGAATAAGGCTTTGTAGTTTTAACAAATTGTTTAAAAAAATATTTTTTAGCTAAAGACATTTACACTTGTAATTTACCAGCTCAAACAAACATAGTGATATTCAGCCCCGTGCAGAGACTATGTAGGGGGCATGTGCAGCATAAACATTTTTGAAGATCGGGAGGTGGGTGGGGACGAAGGGGGTGGTGGGGGTGGGGGTCGTACGCGAACTGAAGAGCAGGTGGGGGGTGGATGTCATGCGTGAACTGAAGAGCGGGGGAGTGGGGTGGTGGTGTTGGTATGTCGCGCGAGAACAGAAGACCGGGGGGGGGGGGGGGGGGGGGATGGGGGTGGGGGGTGGGGGGGTCGCTGGGGCACTTCAGATTATTTTGGAAGGGCACTTTCTATCCAAGACTAAAAAAGGCATGTGCACTGCATAGGTTGAGCCCAATGTGTGCATGTGCCTGGTGATATTTGATGACATTGATAATTTGGTGATTCTGCCTTTTATTAGCTTCTTTTTTAAGTAATTAGGCAATTTCCAGTCAACAATTTAAAGTGCTTTGCATAGAATTAGCGCAGCACAGTATATCGTTTCAGCATTGACATCGCAACGTGATCATTCACTAGTCACCTCAAGTATACCCAATGTTGAGTCCGGATCATAATTTATCATTTGGATGGGTTTTTGAGACCTGTGACTGTATGAGGATTGTAATAGCTCTCAGCAACTCTCACATGGTCGCCCACTGAAGCTAAGCAGGGCTGCGCCTGGTCAGTACCTGGATTGGAGACCACATGGGAAAGTAGGTTGCTGTCGGAAGTGGTGTTAGTGAGGTTGTGTCCTAACGCCCCAGTATAGTGAAGGGGACTCTATACTGCTCAGTGAGCACTGTCTTTCGAATGAGATGTTAAACCGAGGTCTTGTCTCATTAAGGTCGTGATTGTAAGGTATGGTTGTTAAAAATCCCAGGAAAAAGGAATAGAAATAGAAAAAGAGTAGGGGTTTAACCTCGGTATTAGGGCTGCACGATTCTGGCAAAAATGTAAATCATGATTTTCTCACGATTCTGTAAGTGTAAAATCAATTAATATGATTAGCCTATTAATGTTCATTCTCAAACATATGGCAAAACAATAATAATAATATTAGGCCTATGTGTCGTTCTACTGTTGCTTAAAATGCTACATTTTATACAGTCATTATGCTGGACTTGAACAGACTTTCAATATGTCCTGTTGTTAATTTACAGTAAGATGATGACATCAGAATACAGCTATTCATAATTATAAAGTTGATTTTTTTTGTTTAAGACATGTGCTTGTCATCTGCCATTGACAACACTATTAGATCATTTGTTTTCACTGGTAAAATTAGTATTTTGTAGGGATGTAACAATATTGTAAATACCTTCATACCGCAATAGTAATTTTTTTCAATATTACCGTGGGCGCATGACTCAAAAAAACTATATTTCTGAGAAAAGTTTGCTTAGGCGAATGAAGCGAACGGGAGGTAGCGGGAACTACAATTCCCATCAGCCTAGGCGTGGCCATCATCTTTTGCGGTCTGTTGTCACTACAGATCTAGTAATGCAGAAATGGAGTGTCTTGCTAGTAGCGGGAAAGAAAAAGAGCTGGAAATGATCGAACCTAAAGCGGGTTTTAAATCGGATGTGTAGAAGCATTTCGGTTTCCTTCTAAAAAGATACAAAAAAAGGAGAAAATGTGACTGTAAAGAACTGTATCCAAAAAAACTGTATCCAGGCACTGCCAGACTGTGGTGAAATATAAGTCGGGGAATACTACTAAAAACAGTCATGGGGACTGCAGAACACAGCACACTTGTTAGATTAATGCAGACATTGACTTGTACCGCGAAGAGACCTCTTTCTCACTCATGGCTTGTCCTCTCAAGTGGTGGAAAGACAATGCACAACGTTACCCACTGCTGTCAACCTTGGCTAAATCATATCTCTCTGTCCCAGAAACCTCAGTTCCAAATGAGAGGTTTTTTTTCTGTTGCAGGGGACATGTCCAGAGATCCCAGCTTTTGTCAGATTATAGTTATATGATAATTTTCCTTAAAAAACCCATCTCTATCTAAGTTAGTGAGGGATTAAATGTTGAATGTGATGAGTTTTCAACAATACTAAATTGAAACTTTATTTTTTATATATGGTTTAATAGTTTTTTGTTATTAAAATTGAAAAAATTGAAGTTCCTGTTTCGAAACTTACAGATAGATGGCTAATTTGTATGTCATTGATATGTTCAGTGCTAAGGTAAATGAACACTTTTGGCACTTTTTTCGAGTCTTTTCAATAGTTTTGTTTTTCCTGTAAATTATTCAATAAATACCATACCGTGCCATTCATACCGAGGTATTACCATACCGTGAAATTCTGATACCGTTACATCCCTAGTATTTTGTCATTATCAGATTCCTTCTTGCATTATATTCAACATAATATATAGGCTAGGGTTGTTATACTAACACAGTAAACATTTATTTTCATGCACAACGCTTTGTGTTCACTATGAAAGAAAATACATATTAAATGCTTGTCGTAATCATAACTGTAAAATGCGATATGATCATTTAAATTATATGAGCACAGGTTTCATTTTCACTTCCGAGTGCGGCTCATGGCTGCTGTCGCTGTGAGAAAAAACACACACATGCAGATCAAACCTCCCACATGGCCCTCAAACGATCGCTCTGTGTAACAAACTGAACTTTTGTTTACAACTTCGTTATTCCAGCCTGATCTCACGAGAAAACGTAAGTATTTTACGTGTTGGCAGTTTAGTGGCTAATTCGTACGAATTCGTACGAGTTCAGTCGTAAGAAAATGTACGATTTTAAAAAGGAGGCGTGGCACCTAACCCCACCCCTAAACCCAACCGTCATTGGGGGATACGCAAATCGTACTAAAATGTACGAATTAGATCGTACGAATTTGTACGAATTAGCCACTAAATGAAAAAGTTACGAATTGCCGTTAGATTGTGTTGGTTATTCACAGCGTATGCAGGATGTGTTCACTAAAGTAGGCGTCTTTGCGCATTCTCTGTAGTAAACAAACAGCTCGCGGTCAGCTCATGTGTGATTTTGTGGCCACGGATACATTTTTGCAAGAAGACAGAAATTGCATTTTTGGGTGAATTACCTTATAAATACAGTATGTGACACTTTTAACGCCATTTGAAGATGTCAGTGTTACTGTGCGACTGCCTTGCTTCTCTCCTGACATTGAAAATATAATCGGCTGAATCGTAGAAAAGCTGAATTAAGATTGTGTGTAGGGATGAATCGAGATCGTGGTCTTTTTTCGATTAATCGTGCAGTCCTACCCGGTATCTTGGCAAAAATTTACCCACTGGCCTCTGTCCCTCATGGCCTCCTAACCATACCCATATAGTAATTGGCTTCATCACTCTGTCTTCTCTCCACCAATCAACTGGGGTGTGGTTTGCGATCTGGTGTAATATGGCTGCCGTCAAGTCATCCAGGTGGATGCTGCACACTGGTTGTGGATGAGGAGACTTCCCCCCCAATGTGTAAAGCACTTTGAGTGTACAGAAAAGCACTACATAAATGTAGGAATTACTACTATTAGCAATCAGGCCTAAGAAACTGTGCTATTTGTAACATAACTATTTATTTTATGGAATCATTTATAAAACAAAGAATGCTCAGTATTATTTTACAATTAATTATTCAATTACCGTGTGCCTAAATACTGTTAGACTCCTCTGAAAACAATAAAACGCTGTTTATTTCATTTGTATTTTTTTCTTTTTCGCACTTATTTATGCTTCTAGACCAGGGGTGGGCAAACTCAGCCCTGGAGGGTCGATGTCCTGCATAGTTTAGCTCCAACTTTAATCAAACACACTGAACATGCTAATCAGTGTCTCCAAGATCACTAATTATCTATAAGCAGGTGTGTTTGAACAGAGTTAGGGCTAAACTGTCCAGGACATCGACCCTCCAGGACCGAGTTTGCCCACCCCTGTTCAAGACTATGCAATATATTTAATTCTGTCCGTCCGTCCGTCTATCCATCCATCCATCCATCCATCCATCCATCCATCCATCTATCTATCTATCTATCTATCTATCTATCTATCTATCTATCTATCTATCTATCTATCTATCTATCTATCTATCTATCTATCTATCTATCTATCTATCTATCTATCTTCAAGAGGAGCATGTTATATAATTGATGGTGGCTGGTCTCTTAATCGCAACCATTAGTAAACCATTCAGATTATTCCAAACTCACAATAAATATCCCATCTCGCCTTATTCCCTTATCTTCATGTTTTTGAAGAATCACCCAATCCACCCAATCTCCCCCTTTTCTCCTTTACCAGGGGGAGCTCTTGAGACCTACCTGATCCAACGCAATCTCATACCCCCTTACATGCTCATTGACCAGACGGGAGACATGGGCTCAAATATCTCCGAGCTCAGGGTTCTCCCCTGGGACAGCATGCCAAACCTGCTATTATTATCAAGCAATATCTAAGTGCGAACTCTTGATATACAGTTGAAGTCAGAATTATTAGCCCCCCTTTGATTTTGTTTTTCTTTTTAAATGTTTCCTAAATGATGTTTTACAGAGCAAGGAAATTTTCACAGTATGTCTGATAATATTTTTTCTTCTGGAGAAAGTCTTGTTTTATTTCAGCTAGAATAAAAGCAGTTTTTTATTTTTTAAACACCTTTTTAGGGACAAATTATTAGCCCCTTTAAGATATATTTTTTCTCGATAATCTACAGAAGAAACCATCATTATACAATAACTTGTCTAATTACCCTAACCTGCCTAGTTAACCTAATTAACCTAGTTAAGCCTTTAAATGACACTTTAGGCTGTATAGAGGTGCCTTGAAAAATATCTACTAAAATATTATTTACTGTCATCATGGCAAAGATAAAATAAATCAGTTATTAGAAATGAGGTATTAAATCTATTATGTTTAGAAATGTGTTGAAAAAAATCTCTCTGTTAAACAGGAATTGGGAAAAAATAAACAAGTGGTCTAATAATTCAGGGGGCTAATAATTCTGACTTCAACTGTATATTGAGATTATTCAATATCCTCAACAAAACTTTAATAACTTCTTAATAACTTATATATATATATATATATATATATATATATATATATATATATATATATGTGTGTGTGTGTGTGTGTGTGTATATATATATATATATATATATATATATATATATATATATATACACACACACATATGGGATCCTTCACAATTTGCAAAAAAGTAAAAATAACAAATAAAAGTTTGAAAATCACTCACATCATCTATAATATTTTATCACAGCCCAACTATCTTCCACAGAAAGCTCCTATTTAGCACAGAAGGACTATTTCTGCCACTGAAACAGGCTTCCTCTTAAATCTTCAACTCAACAATAACCTAATACATTTTAAGAAGAGCAGTGCAATATTGCTCAACCATTCCAACTATCCTCTTTCTAAAAGATGCAGCCATGGCTGTCCCAAATAAAACCTTAGAAAAGCTGGCTTCTTCACACATGGCCTACCTACAGAACAACAAACACACACTGAAGCATAGGAGACAGCGGTCAACTGCGCACCGTGTCCTTTGTTGTCATGAAGCCCATCATGAAAACACCCCTATTATTAGCATGCGCGTCTCATGGCGGAGCTGATGCTGAGGCTGGATGGAGAAGATGCTGAAGAGGATGATGAATCCGTGGTCTTTACCTGAAGATGGAGGAGACACCGTCGCATCCCCCTGTCCCTGGACCGGGGAGGTGCGCGTGTCTTCGGCATTGTCCTGGTCCGACAGTGAGGCGAGGCCGCGGGTGAGCGCCGCACCCTCCGCTCTCCTCACCGACACATCCTTGCTGAAAATCAGCAGCGCGGCGAGGAGCAGACACCCCGACAGGTCTGACATGGCGTCTCCGACATAACTGCACTCAGCGGCACGGAAAAGGAGAATGTTGTTGTTGTTTTTTCGGTGGTCTTCTTCGGCTGGCTGTGTGGATGTCACGGTCACATCATCACGCTGGTGGACGGTGAATATAAGAGGCGCTGCTGGAGTCGGGCGGCGGGTGCGCGCGCGTGTTGCGTCAGAGCTCACGCGATGCCATCTGCTGGCTCAGGGCTTTTGCTTCTTTGTTACAGATTACGCAATCACACAGCGATGTTTTCATGCGTGATAAGAGCTATATGATCATTAGGATGAATATAGTTGCAAGCAAGCAATTATAATAAAGCTTATCATTTAATAAGCAAGCAATACGAAAGCAGTTATAAGAATGCGTGAAAATATTCTATTCTACTCTCTAGATTTAAGTATTATGAACTAGTGCATTGATCTAAATCCAATAATCCCTATAAAATACATACATAACCCACATAAAATAAATACATACAAAGTTGAATTATTAGCTCACTGTATTTTCCCCCAATTTCTGATTTTTTCCAACACATTTCTAAACATAATAGTTTAATAACTCATTTCTAACAACTGATTTATTTTATGTTTGCCATGATGACAGTAAATAATATTTGACTAGATATTTAAGACACTTCTTTACAGCTTAAAGTGACATTTTAAGGCTTAACTCGGTTGGTTGAACTTAAAATAGCGTTTAAAAATGAAAACTGCTTTTATTTTCAGCAAAATAAAACTCTCCAAAATGAAAAATATTATCAGACATATACTGTAAAAATTTCTTGCTCTGGTAAACTTAATTTGGGAAATATTTAAAAAAAAGAAAAAAAATTCAAAGGGTGCTGAATAATTCTGGCTTCAACTGTGTGTTATATATATACATACATGCACCCATGTATAATTTTGGGTTTGACTATATAAATTTAAAGTGATTTATCACTTTCTATTTTCATACAAACACGTGCACTGATTTAGACACATTGATGTGTCCGTGTTCAAATGTTTTATGCATATATAATGTTTTATATAACTGTTTTTTTACTTGCGTTATTTCTATCATCATTGTTTGTAGGTTTCTTTGGATAAATTAGGCAATCATGATTTAAAAATTCCAGTTATGGCATTAAAAAACAGTTTATATTATTTTGGCATCAATATCAATTGTAGTTTTATCTATTTGAAATCTTTTTTTATATATAAATAAAACATTTAAATTTGTAATTTTGTTAAATTTTTTATTAAACACTCATATTAGTTTTAAGGTTAAATTTAAAATGATGCATATTGCGTTAATAGCTAGCTACAAATTATTTATGTTATTACATTTTTTTCCAGTTAAAATGTTTTTTAATTTTTTGGAACCATGCAAATAAAATGTAATAGTGTAATAATTATTAGTGGAAATAAGTGAACAATCATCTATTGGATCAGCTTTAAGAAGACAGAGAGGATTTTTGTGAGGTAAAGATATACCTCTATTTTATTGTAATAACTCAAGCGAATTACATTGTCAATGTACAACATACAAACAGACAGTGGAAAAGGTCCTCTGTAAAGGAAGTCTTGAAAGAAAAAAAGTGACCACATTTTCTCACTCACCATATCTCCACAAAACAAGTGTATTAATCACATAAAAACAAAAAACAGGACATTTATTATTATTATTATTTTTTTTAAAAATCATCAAGACATAGTGACCAAATGTCTCCTTTTCAAGCAGCCCTATAAAAAGGAGCGAATGAACGTTTCTCAACTGCACCACTGTAAGAGTGGGAATCTTCAAAAAGACCCTCACTTTACACAAACCAGTTTCTAAGCATGAATAAAGCACTCATGGTGGTCGACAGTTCACCGGACTTTTTTTTTTCCTCCATCAACTGAAAAAGCTTTAGAGTGCTCGCCGTATTCTGAAGCAAAAAATAATAAAAATCATAATCATAATGGGATCCAAACAGCTCCCAGAAATGTGTAGATTTATCTGCATATTATGAAAGCCTTGTGATAGGCTGAGAACAGTGGTTATGCTGCCAATCAGACACTGGCTAAATCCTGGCAGATGGACCACCAAGCCACACCTCCTTCCTCCCAGCCACCCGATTAAACCTCCTCCTCCTCCTCCTCTTCTTCATCATCATCCTCCAAGTCACAGAAGTCAATGGAGGGTCTGCTGTCCTCCACTTCATCTTCATCAGATTCTGCATATGAACCTGTGAGTTTCAACAGAAAAACACATCAGAAAGATGACAGGAAACCAGACAGTTGCAACCCTCTGGTTCAGACCCGAATATAAATGTATACTGTTAACACCTACAAGTGCATTTGAGGGTCAATTATGACTCATTATGGTAAAGGCATGAATACGCAGATGCAAATGCCAGCACAAACAAATAACAACATTCGTTTACATTTCTAAATTAGTCCAGGATTAAATAAAAGTACACATTTAATAGCAGCACCAAAAACGTAAGTAGATTACAATATAAACTCTCAACAGGCCACTTTATTAGGTACACCACTTTAACTGCCAATGTCTAACTGGTCAATCACATGGCTCATCATTGCAACTCATTATTTGAAAATGTTCTCAACGTTTTATTCTCCCTCAAGTGGTTCTAAATCTATAAGAATGAATTTTTTCTGTTGGACACAGAAAAACAGATATTTTGAAGAATTTTGAAAACATTAAGGCTGATTTATACTATTGCGCCTAGATATTTTGTGTTGCTCTGTAATAACATTTCGGAAACCCTAGGTGGTGGTGGGTGTTTATGTTCCTCTGTGTCGAGTTTCTTCACGGGCGTTTAACGCTACAACTAGCTAAAACTTGCTCATTCACAAGCTTGAACCGGCGGACGTGTAACTACTTTAATCATAAGGTACATGCAAAGCAAAAAGTTTCCATCTGGAGCTCTTTCATGGAACAAGACACTTGATCTTGATCACATTTGATCAATCGGGCTCGAAGCTCTCAGCCCACAGTCAGAGAGCTCGAAGCTCTCAGTCACACTTGCGTTCGGATTCGTTGCTGAATAATCATTCAGAGCACTCTCTTCAGCGATGGCCAATGCCGATTTGACACTTAAATTAGATTTCATTGCTGCTAACCAAGTCCATCCATTTATGACTGCTGTGTACCCATGTCTTGATGGCTACTACCAACAGCATAGCACACCATCCCAGACCTACATTCAAATGGCCTCCGCAAGCACCAGACCACATGAACACTTTTGGGATGTGGTGGGAACAGAAATTAAAATCATGGATCAAGTCAATTTGGACTAAAATCTGAAATGCTGCATTCACTACAGACGCAGAACGCAGATAAATCGCGCTATTCGCGCGTAAATAGCCGCGTGAATATTTGAGTTTACTCTCTTCATTTGCGTGTCAAACCCTGCTTCATTCGCGCGTCAAATTCACTTCAGAACAGACGCAGACTCGCGTGATGGGCAGGGCTTCTGTCTGCCCGGTGACTCTAGCTTCATAGCTAAATGGCTAACATGGATTTTATTGAGAAAATAACAGTGTTTATATGCTGAAGATATCAGACTTTTGAACTTGAGCAATTTGCGCAAAACGCGCGTCAAACGTGCAAAATGCTCAATTCACACAATTTGCCTCATTCGCGCTATACGCGTAATTCGTGCAATTTGCGTCATTCTCGCCGCAGGATGTCTATTCGCAATGCATTGACTTAACGTGTAAATCACTCGCGCTTGATGCGGGTTCCGCATCTGGTGTGAACGCAGCATAAAGAATATTTCAAGCAGCTTTTTGAATCTATGCTACAAACAGTTAAAGGGATAGTTCACGCAAAACTGAAAACTATCATTTACCCTATCATTTACCCTGTCATTTACCCAGGGGAACACCCTTTACTAATTAGTTCCCACACACTGAATAACTTCAAATTCAATAACCTTTAAAAGGACTTTCCAGTTCCAAAACATTTAAATACACAGACATAATGTGAACATAATAAACATTTCAAGTTACTTTATAAGACTAACTTTGTAAATTAGCCACATGAAAGAGATTAAATCTCATAGAACAGAGAATTTTTCTAGAAATCTTATTACACAAAATAAATTCAAGTACTTTTGAGGACTTATATCTACCTTTATAAATGTTCTGTTACTTTCCAGGGCCTTTATTATTCCTTCAGATTCACAAGCCTTCATAAGAACCCTGCACAAACCAGTTCATTACGAACAATGCTTTGAAACCAGTGCCCATCAACTTCCATAGTAATTGTTTTTCCTACTATGGAAGTCAATGGGGTTCCGGTTTCTAAGATTCTCCAACATACTCGTTTGCGATCAACAAAAACGAAAGTCAAGCGTTTAAAACCGATTAAGGGTGAATAAATGTTAGTATTGGGTGTTAAATGTTTATGTTAAATGTTAACTATTTCTTTATAGCAGTTCTAAAGACAAAGGTGGGTCCAACCTGGTGCTAGACAGCTGTATCTAATAAAGAGCCTGATGAGTTCATACTTAACTGTTGATATCAGATGTTTTAAAGATGCTCATTCATGTAAAGATGTATGCAAACAAACCTACAAGACTCACATTAATAGGGCAGAACCAAAATAAATAGAAGTAATTAATAACATACTTTCAAGATTGTCCATGTGTTCGTGTAGAGTTCTCGCCAAGTTGAAAAACTGGCGAGAGAGGGGAGAATGTTTTGGTTTCCAAGTCACAACATTACACTTGAGTGATGCACCACAGGAGTTAATGTACTGTACAGTACTCGAACAGAAAGAGAATGAACAAAGTGACAAAGAGAAGCAGTAAAAGACTCACCCCAGCATCATTGACTGCGCCCAGGACATCAGAAAACCTCTGCTCACACAAGTGCAGGAGCACCACCAGGTACAGACCACAGCTGATGAACTCATACTCTGACTGAAGGAAGAAACAAACATTACCACATATAAAATCAGCAACCTTAATAAAACCACCACCTGCTTCAAGTATTTAATGGTAAATGAACACTAGACAATAAGAACATGTTTTGGTTCAAAAAACATTTGTTGTGCTAGAGTTGTTGTTTTGCAAAGTCAGCACTAAAAAAAAGAAATTCTAGACTGTGCTTCTAGAGTAGCTCAGACTTGTCCACCTGTCGGGTTTTGGACCATAGGGGGTAAAGGATGTGTTTGGATATAAAGTTT